AAATGTCAAGCTTTAAACATTTATTACTCAGATGATGTGTTTTATAGCATACAGTGGGTCTGGATGTTCTATAAACAAAGACTGAACCACCACAAAGAGTTGTTAGCTCCCTTGTTTTAACAGTCTCTGAAATGCTGGAAACGACGAGTTTGTGTTTTGTCTAGTATGAATATCTAGTCTTTATTCTCCCCAAAACCTTTTTCCTTTTTTTTTTTTATTTTTTTTTTTTAATATTTTTTTAAAGCGCTTAGTTTAACAAATATGATTAAATTAAAAATGTCGCTTTTCCAAATGCAAATAAATACATTTAAAAAAAGAAAAAGAATTGCTAGCGTTAACTCCACGTTCTGCAGGACACCGCAGCTCCCTTGGCTATCCACAGTGGACTCTGCAACCCTTAGCGTTGTTTCTTCTGAAAAAAATACTGAAAGTATCTCCGGGACTGGCTAATAGCTAACACCAAGAAGAGCAAAATTAGTGTAAAACCATAAAATACCCAGCAGGGAAAAAAAAAATAAAATACCGTATTTAAGATTTTGAGAGACTTCCAAGTGAGGGATGTTATAAAAATAAGCATGAAAATAAATCATAAGTTATTCTGACAAGTTTTCCTTCAAAGCCATCAATCATGCCAAGAATAGATACTAATTAATCTCCTTTGGGGGAAGAGGGAAACCAAGCAAATAGCTTACTTTTCCTTTTTATCCCCATTTTCATTTCACCTCCATATACATAAGACTTCTCCAAAAAGGGGTGAAATCCTTTTTGGGGAAACCGAGCAAGTCACTTCATAAGTAGCAAAAATCTTCATTTTGGAAAAAATTTCGCCAGGAATGAGGCGAATTAGATGCTGGGGAGTCTGGCAGGGAGCTGGCAAACCTGCTCTGCATCCAAAGGGGGACAGGCAGGGCGGTGGCGCAGAGCATCGCTCCTCCACAGATGCTTCAGCCACTCACCTTTACACCAGCCCGCGGTTTGGCCCCACACATATTTGGCCCAAGGAGGTTATTTTCTCCGTTGCTGATGTAGCCATATGGGACAACGTATTAAACCCCACACGGATACTTACTGAGCAATGAAGATTGAAGCTGGCTAGTAACGACCAGGGAGACGTAGCTGGTGGCTCCACACCTTCAAAACTACACATTGTAGAACTACACTTTTTGGCGACTGTATCCTGGGCTGCATCCAAAGCAGTGTGGCCAGTAGGTCGAGGTGGGGGATTATGCCCCTCTACTCTTCTCTCCTGAGAATCCCCTGCAGTGCTGCATTCAGCTCTGGGGTCTCCAACACAAGAAGGACATGGAGCTGCTGGAGCGGGTCCAGAGGAGGCCACCAAAATGATCCGAGGGCTGGAGCACCTCTGCTATGGAGACAGGCTGAGAGAGTTGGGGCTCTTCAGCCTGGAGAAGAGAAGGCTCTGGGGAGACCTTCCAGCAGCCTTCCAGTACCTAAAGCGGCTGCAAAAAAGCTGGAGAGGGACTTCTGACAAGGACATGTAGTGATAGGACACGGGCCAATGGCTTTAAACTGAAAGAGGGGAGATTTAGATTATATAGAGGGAAGAAATTTTTCACTCTGAGGGTGGTGAGGCACTGGAACAGGTTTCCCAGAGAAGTTGTAGATGCCCCATCCCTGGGTGTGTTCAAGGCCAGGTCGGATGGGGCTTTGGGCAACCTGGTGTAGTGGAGGGTGTCCCTGCCCATGGCAGGGGGTTGGAACTGGATGATCTTTTGAGGTCCCTTCCAACCCAAACCATTCCGTGATTCTGTGATTCTCTGACTGTTTCTAAAGAAAACAGAAAAAAAAAGAGAAGAAAATACTGGATGACACCCCTAGGTGGTCTCACCAGATATCCTGAAAACTTCCCACTGCCATTCCCCATCAAATGACCTCATAGTACCTCTTTTCCCAACATGGTACCATAGTTAATGACGTCATGTGCCCACCAGCTCCTTACTGATGGAATTCAGAAAGATACCATTGGCAGCACGTAATTTTGGGGAAACGCCCCCATTTTTGGTCAACATTTTGATTCTCATGTATCGACAGAGCAACTGACAGACCAAAGCAGTTAATGGCTGCACGAGGGTACGTTAATAGCAGAGATAAATGGCAAGACATTAAAAAAATGATGAATTTCACATAGAAGTTCTTTGCTGGGAGAAATCCCAGTACTGGAGGGGAATGTCACAGGCCAAGCCTGGTCGGCGAGGGTTTCAGGATTGCATACCAATGGGAAAACTGAATAAACCCTCATGGCTGGTATAGGTAGAGAAAAGTTGAAGCAGAAATACTGCCCTGCGGCTTACACTTCACTGCTGAATGCCTCCTGATACACTGATGGGTGAAAATTCAGGTTTTTAGAAGAAAATTTTCCCATGTTCTGGGATTTTCTTTTTTTCTATTTCTTCTTTCACTACCTCTTGAGGGCAAATTCTAGGGGAAGGGAGAAGCTGTAGGGGCCGGAGCAGTGGTCTGGATCGCTGCCGGCAGGATCCCTGGCACCCCGACCCATCAGGCTGTGTCCCCGTTATAGGACTTTTCTGTTCTTTAAAAAAAAAAAAAATCAAGACAAAACCAGTTTTCAGGTCTTCTCCCAGAAGACTGACGCTGTGAGTGGGCACTCTGTGATGGGTGCTAAATCCCCTTCTCCTCTGCTCCCCAACAAATCAGGGAGCAGGAAAGCCAACAGCAACAGGTACAATCCTGAGCCTTATAATACTGATGGGCTTTGCAGCCTAAATCAAGTTCAGCTGCTCATTAATATTATCAAACCCCGTTGCTATTAACGAAGCTGACCCAACGCAAGGCGCCATCACCACTTGAAGCTCCTGGGCTCAAATCCACGAAGTAGAAATTAATTTTTCCAGACAAGTCCAGTGCATCCAGCAATAATTTTGCTGCTTTCTGGGTAGACGGGAAAACTGAAGCTCTTGTTTCCAGCTCCCTTCTCTTGCTCCATGCACGGCTTAGAAACCGCATCAGCAGACGACCAGACGAAAAGTCAAATAGTTTTGGAACTGCAGCATCAGGACCTCTGCCATTACCTCCTGAAATACATCTTCTGCTGAATGTCTCTGCCCTTTAAATTTTGCAGCGAAAGCTTCCTTCCCGTCACAGACAGACCAACACATTCATAAGGCACCCGAGAACATACCGCACATCCAAAGAGGTCGGGGTGAAATCTCTCTTCTCTACAAGCCAGCAGAAATTCAACACCTTGCTTGGAAAAAACGGGTTTGAGCTGCTGAGTTCAGACCCAGCCTGCCTGCTCCAAGGTCCATGTGTACCGGCGCCGTGGCACAAATTTTCTTTTTATCATTGGGAAAGGAAAGTAAATTGAATAACGGGAAGAAAACAGGACGAGCTGCCGGCCTCGTGCCTTCCTTGGCTTCACTTCCACCGCACAGACGGGACAGGGCAGCTTATATCCCCATTAGGCTTCACCAAAATAAGCACCAGAAGCGATTTAGTAGGTAAAGGCGTTGCTAGACAAGCAAATAAGGAGGTCGTCAAGTCTTGTTCGTGACTAAGGGAGCGATGCAACGGTGCGGTGTGTCCCTCCATCCCTGCATCCTTGCCCTCTGGGCATTTTCTTGCCATCATCCCCCTGCAGCCGCCCTCTCCCTGGTGATGCTCCAGCATGGAGCAACCTGGGGATCCCCGAGCAAACTCTCCCCCTCCGAACACACCGCCCATCCCTTGAGGACACGATGCCACTTAGACTGACCACAGGACAGGGCCATTCCTGTACACCGCACACCTAGGAACACCATCGAGCAAATCCATCTAGTGAGAAGCCAGGCTCAAAACCTCTATTTCTGGCTTCTTCTGTTTTTTCCTCTTCTTTTCTCCTCCTTTTTGCTATTCACATCTTGTCTTCTTTTTCGCAGTCCCCAAAGAAGAACATCAAACCTTCATTTCTCCCTCGCCCTGTACATTATTAGGCCTGACCACGACAGGCCTGGATTTAAATGCATAATTACAACCATGACAGTAATTACAATAAAGCACTCCTTCAATGGAAACAACAAAAAAAAGACATTACCAAAAAACCAAAAAAGTTTATAGTTTAGCGGCTGAGGGGTAACAGAGCCGCAGAATCTCCTTTTTCTTAGAGCTCCCAGCTCAGAGGACATGTTTCTCAACCCATTGAGGTTACTGGCAAGACGATGGTGGCTATGTTACTTCTGCAGTGGCTTTTGGACTTCTTTAAAATACTCCTTCTGCTTCAGCATCTTCACGCAAACCGCGAGTCAGCTCGCGGGAAGGCGTTGCTTTCCCTGCCTCCGAGCTGCTCACAATTGTCCGCTCAATGATACAACAAAACAGGAAGAAAATACAAACGCTCGAGAAAAAAAGAAAACCCAGTGCAAATACGAAAGTCGTCCCGCTCTCCGATCCGCTTCCGAAGGGGTGGCGAGCAGGGTCGGAGGGACACACACGGAAAGTCGAAGACAAGAGGAGGGGTGGGAAAACAAACCTAACGCAAGCCCCGCTCGACAAAAGCCATCAATTACGAGCGTCTGGTGTGGTGTGTGTCTGGCTTTGTCCTCCCGAGACATCTGCTGCCTGCTGTCTCCTGCCAGTTGGCCGGGGCAAGGCAGGAGGATGGCGTGAAAACAATACTAGCCCCCACTTGGATTCAGGATCTTTTGTTTTGATTCGAGGTTTTTTTTTTGTTTTTTGTTTCCAAATTCTCCTGTCTTCTTTCGAAAGCCAAACAATAACCCGGCGGGATGCGTTGCTGCTGCTTGAGCAATGAGTTCAGAAAAAGAAATCCCTAAAACAAAACCACGGCAGGGAAGAGGGGTGGCACTTGGCGACGCAGCTGAAAAAGAAACATGCTTCTCCCTCCCCACCCCACCCCACGAACATATTCTCGAGCATGCTGGGGTTTGGTCTGCTGGGGGATTTAAATTGGAAAAGCTCTTGCCAGATCATGTCAAGGTGCGTGTCTTCTTCTCATCCCTTCCCACCCCACCTTGCCCTGCCCCTCAAGCCGTTAGTTTTTGGATGGTCTTGTTGTAGTACTGTGTGATGGTGGGCGTCAGGGGGTTCCAGTTGTTGGCGTGCAGCTCGATGACCTCCAGCAGCAGGGACCGCGTCAGCATGGACTCGGAAGGACACAGCATCTTGTCGCGGGCTATGGCCAACAGCTCCGTCATCATCTCGGGCAGCTGCTCCTCCAGCAGCCGGCCAGAGCTCTGCAGCTGTCAGGAGAAGAAGGGGTCAACCATGGCATATTGATCCTTACGGGTCCCTTCCAACTTGAGAGAGATTCTACGATGCTATGACACTAAAACACCACGCTGGCTTTCGTAGACACCCTCCACCCCTCCAATTCTCCCCTGCTCGATGCGGTGGGGCGGGCAGGCAAGGTTAAAGGCGTCGTGGCTTTTGAAAACCAAAACCACCCGGCAGCAGGCTCCAAGAGCTGAACACTGCGGGCGAGGTTTTCAAAAAGCATCCAGGGTTGCTGGAGGAGCGAATGGTTCAGCTCCCACTGACTTCAAAGGCGGCAATGCTGGATTGCTTTTGGAAAAAAAGAAAAAAAAATCCCACCTAAAAATCATGCTATTGTCAAAACAAAGTGCAGGCTGTGATGTGGTATTCCTGTCTTCTACCTGGCCCTTCATTTACTCGCTGATTCACAGCTGCCAGTGACTCCCAGTCATTAATCGGAGTAAGCAGAGCCCTCCTGTATGCATAACAAATCCTGCCTGCCAAGATCTGCATTTATACCTGTCGTGCTGCTTCTCTGAGAACAGTCAAGGGTTTTTTAAAATGATTACTCCTTGGAGAGCCTCCATGGAGCAGCATAAGCCCTAGGTGGTCCCATGGAGGAGAAGGTCCAAGCATGGACTGGACAGCAACAAGTTCACCATCACAGAAGGCTCGTGGGGCTTGAAGGCAGAGATCCTCAAAGTCCTAATCTTAAAAATTCAAACTCTTCTCCTCAGTTGCCTGTCGCTTTGCTGACAGTTGCTGTAGTGGAGGGTGTCCCTGCCCATGGCAGGGAGGTTGAGGTCTCTTCCAACCCAAACCATTCTATGATTCTATGATTTTAATTCCAATAATTTAGACTGCAATTTCAACCATTCTCTCCAAGAGAAGCATGCATCCCTGCAGATCAATCACTTCCCAAAAGCAAATCTAATGAAACTCTGCTATGTTTGTATCAGCATTTCTCTTCAAAGCTGCTGCTGGGCACAGCAAATCTCTCCACGTGAGCCTTGTGCTTAAAATACAAATGCAAAGTGAGATTTGAACGAACCAGGATAGTGTAATTCTGGGATGGGATCCCAGCTACCAAACTTTTTGCATCCATTTACATGTATCAAAAGTGCAGTGATACAGTCTCAAGGGCCATCTCTTATCTCACGGTGATGATGTCTTTTATCTACTCTGCTCTGGTGAGATCCCACCTGCAGTGCTGCGTTCAGCTCTGGAGACCCCAACACAAGAAGGACATGGAGCTGCTGGAGTGTGTCCAGAGGAGGTCATGAAGAAGATGAGAGGGCTGGAGCACCTCTGCTATGGAGACAGGCTGAGAGAGTTGGGGCTGTTCACTCTGGAGAAGAGAAGGCTCCAGGGAGACCTTATTTCAGCTTTGTGGTACTTGAAAGAAGCTTATAAGAAAGCTGGGAACAGACTTTTCAGTGAGGCCTGTTGCGCTAGGGCAAGGGCCAATGGTTTTAAACTAAAAGAGGGGAGACTCAGAGTGGATAGAAGGAAGAAATTGTTTACGTTCAGGGCGGTGACACACTGGGACAGGTTGCCCAGAGAGGTGGTATATGCCCCATCCCTGGAAATAACCCAGGGCAGGTTGGATGAGGCTTTGAGCAACATGATCTAGTGGAAGGCGTCCCTGCTCACTGCAGGGACGTTGGTGCAGATGACCTTTAAAGGTCCCTTCAACCCGAACTATTCGATGATTCTACAATGCAGAGGCAACATGGCTGTTTGGGTTTGGAATCATCTAATAGCTGTCTAGCAAAGGACAGAAGGGGCAAAGCAATGAGGACTGAGGCAGATGGTGCAGGTGCTTCCCTACCTCCATGGAGCAGCAAAGCACAGCATCTTCCTTCACATCCTGAGATTGCAACAACTGCAAAGGAGAGAAGAGAGAGACAGTGAGAAATGCGTGACCTCTTCCTTCTCCCTTACGACCTCCCTGCCATCTCTTCATCCAGCTTGGCTCTTGCCACTTCCAGGAGGAAAGCACAGAACATCAGAAAGAGGGGAGAAAAGAGATTATCACCACCAAAAAGTAATATAAACAGTGACAAAACGCAAGGTAAAGGGCATCGCCAGCGTAGCCACTGCTGAGAGCCAGTGGGGCAGAATATAGAGAATTTAGATTAACAACTTTCAAAATAGACTTTATTTAGGTTACATTACTTTTTTTATCCCATGGCAGGCAATGAGAAAGTGGACTTTTTTCACATACACAGTGACAAAATAGAACCATCAGACGACAGCGCTGGAGCAGCACAGCCCTGGGAGCGACTGCTTGGAAGGGAAGGGCTCTGCCCGAGAGGCAGCCACCCACCTCCAAACCTCTCTGTCCCTGTGGGGACACTTCTAACAGCCACGAAATCACCTGATGGGAAAGCCTTACATCCAATACACCGTGATTAATACAGCTCCTTCTAGACTGATTATACAGTGGTGCAAGTGCAATGGGTTGCAGTGAAACTATGGTGTCTCAGGTGCACCAACTCCAACCCTGCTCTGCTCTCCATGGACTTTGCATTACAGATATGAGCTTGCCAAGCGTGAGTAACTTTCATGAGAGATCCAAAATGTTGCTGTGCATGGCATAGGATGGTGAGGGAAGATGCTCGCTCCTCTTGGTTCAGATCCAGGGTGTGCAGTGAGGGTCAATGGCTCTACCCAGTCATGGCAAAGCGTAGGAGCTCAGCACATCTCACCACACAAACCCAGAAACCATGAGCAAGGACCTTCGAAACCGTATCAAAAATACGCATCTTTCTTGCTTTTCATCTTTATGACTTTGTCACACATGCAAAGACGCCGTTTCAGGCTTTTTTTTTTCTAAAACCACAAGAGAAAGCACAGTTTTCTGGTTGTTTTTCAAGCAGATAAAAAATACTGAGATTCCCAGTCGGCCAACAAAATGAGATGAAGTGTTGTGAAAAACGCTGTATGAGGCGGCTGATAAAATCACTGGTGCTGGCAACACTTGAAGATACGATGCTTTCACTCCATCACCTTGGGTTGAACAAGCCTTGCTGGCCCTGAGCTAATCTCTGCGTGAAGCAGGGAGCTTAGCACGTGCACTAAACACAGAAAAAGAAGAAAAATTGGGAAAACTGAAATTCACCAGAATTTGGAAAAGCAGTTGGACTAATTAAAACGCCCCATATAAATATTGCTCAGCTTAACTAAGGGTGCTCCAAAGTCATGCCCTTCAGTTCAAATCATAATTCTGATTCTCAGTCTTATCATCTCCCCTTTCCAATCTCATCTTTTCATGTTTCCTTTCCTTTACATAAATAGGAAACATGTAAAACAAATAGGCAAATAAATACCCATTTGTTTACCAGATCCATGACTGCTGGAAAACAGCTAGGGAAAAAGGAGTTAATTCAAGGAATTATCATTGCTCTCAAAGTTTTGTCTTCACCCTCTTCTGTTTTCAGCAGACAGCGGTTTGTTTGCTTTGAAAATGATGTTTACAGCATCTCGATGAGCGCGCCGTCCATCGTCTTTTATCTCACGTTAGCCAAAGGTTCAGCCAGGGTTGTGAAGACACGCAACAGTCCCCTCACCACCCCAAGTTTATCCTTCTGATGAGTTGTTTGGAAAATGTTAGTTAAGCCCAAGCCGCACGCTCTGAGATAAGTTCTCACAAACAGTTCACGGATTCCTCGCGAAAAGACATGAGATTATTTTAAACTCGACAACAACAAGAGAAAAAACATAAATTAGGGACAAATACAAAAAAAAAATCACTTGTGGAGTATTTAGCTCATGAGCATGGCATGAAGCAGGGCTGCAAAACAAACATATATTCACCTTTCCTGGTTTTGCTATTCTTCAGTAAAGAATATAACGTGAAAATTAATGGAAGAAAAGTGGAGCTAGGATTGATTAGGAAGGACCTGCAGTAGCCCGATTCCAGCCCTTCCTCTGCCATGGTCTCCTCAATGATCCTGCTTTCTGCCAGGGATATGTGGTCAGTGAAAGGCTGCAGCTTCACTTGAGTTTTCCTTGCCCCAGCTTCCCACCTGCAGGGCTGGGACATGCTTCTCCATCTCAAAAGGTGGTTGTGAGGATTAGTGTGTCACTGTCAAGTGCTTGGATATTTGGCCAGTGAGGAATAGTCTTATCTAAGATGAAACAGAGACTATATCCTACTCCCAGGCTTGGGCAGGCACCCTCCACCTTCACACTGTCCTCCTGAACCTCATCTGATGTGACTTGGCTGAAAAAGGAGAATGCATGTGCTCCATCTTGTGCGTCCGGGCAACATGTGCTCCACCTCATCCACTGAGACACCATGTGCTCCACCTCATCCATCCAAGCACCATGTGCTCCACTGCTCCATTGAGGCACGATGTGCTTCACCTTGTCCATTCAGGCACCATGTGTCCCACCTTGTCCATCCAGGCACCATGTGCTCCACCGCTCCATCGAGACACCAAAAGATACCAGTCCCAAGGGCCACAGTTCAACCTCTGTGATATGTGGGTTGGGGAGGCCCACAACATGCCTACCAAACCCCAGCACAGCCCTGTGCAGCAGAGCAGGGCCCAGCAGGCAGATCTGCTGGTGCTCTGGGAACCAGAGTCCAAGTCTATGCCCACAGATGGTTGCCAGCCACCTGCATCAGTGCAATGGTCTGAAACCAGGAGCATCAGAAAGATGTCACTGTTTCTCTGCATGTTCCTGATCATAACTATGTTTTTACCATGCTGGAGAGGGGCTCTGGAGCTTCCCTGGGCTGTTAGCACCAGCTATCTGCTGCTGACCCCTGTATGCCAGGATGGGAGGAGATGGAGGAGCCCAGTTTGCTCTCCCTAGCCTGGTATGGGCACTGAACTGCTGCTGAGAACAGACAGCAAGGGTTGCACTGCAAGAACCATGCTGCCTGGGGTCCTGCCATCAATGTCCTCAACCACTGATGAGGTCTTGCACGTATTTCTCCAAGGGTGCTTCGTCCCCACCCCACCCCACGCTGCCCTACGCCGGCACCGGGCACCCCAAAGCAACGAGGTGGTTGCTTCAGCAAGCACGCAGCGTTTCCCAAAGCTCTTTGACCCCCGTGTCAGCCCTGATGGCACTGCAAGAAAAACTGGTGCAAATGCTTCAAGACCTCTGGGGAAATCACAGCCCTGAAGTACCGGCACCGGCGTGACCATAAACCTGAACCCGACCGAATATATTAATTGTTTGCAATCTAATTCATATTTACTTAAAATATTTTAACGTAAACACACCAGACCCATGAAACTAGCACTCCCACACCGGAATTATTATTTATTTAACTATTAATAACCGCTCCTCCCTGCTTCTGCATCTGCCCAAATCCCACCACGGGCACCGTCCCAGCCCTCTCCACCAGGTTCCCACACGGTTCGAACCAGCTGATGATGATGGACGAGGGAGTTGGAAAAGGAGTGTGAGGCAGACAGCAGGGCAGGTGAGCTGAGACTCGCACGCTTCTCCGTTTAACCCGTCATCATCCCCTCCAGGCTGGGGCTGTCTGTGAGGAAAACTTCCCTTTGCTCTCCAGCCGGTTTCCCCTGTATCGGGCGAAGCCGGGCAACGAAAGTGGCAGTTCCTGCTGGAAAGCAGACAAAGAGTCTGCTTGATTTCCTAAGAGAGGAGGCTGCATGCCAGAATCTGCCTGGCTAGTCCTATAATACCCGACCTCGGTTGCGAAAGTCATCTCGCTTTTGTTTCTGGCGCTGGACTAGCAGCTTTGCAGACTGGTGGAAGATACCCAGCTCCTCCTCTCCCAAATTTCTCTGTCCTACTAAGAGAAGGAGCACTCAGTGTGCCTGGATGGATTCTGGGTGCTAAATATTTCCATAAGCAACCCAAAATAAATCGTAGAGTCTGCTCCTGGCAGCGTTGCGTGCGGTGGGGGAGCTGCAGCGGTGGCTATTGAGTGCAACTGGTTTCTGTGGCACGCTACTGGGACCAGTCTCCCCTCGCCTCCGTGGCCCCAAAACCTGCTCTTTCCATCTTTTCATCAATAAGCCCCATGGAGTGGGTATGCAACAGCGGCTGAGGGGGCAAAGAAGCCCCAAAACTGTAGCTCTGCTTCATCATGGAGACAACCAGCCTGGTCCTCCTGAGCAGGAACGGATGCACATGTCTGCGGTGCAGACCACCAGGGGCAAACCAGAGAGCCAAGCTGATGGGATTCACCTGCCCACGAATATTTGGGCTTATTATCTGCTTTCTCACGTTACCTGGGCTGCTGAGAAGCTAAAGCGCTTACTTGGTATTCTCAGGGGTGCCCACGCCATGAGCAGGACCGGAGAACCTGTCCCACTGCCCCTTATCACCAAACTTCTCAGGTTTAATTGTGTTCTTCAGCAGTTCTCCCTGGGAGAAGGAGTGGGAGCAGACCAATGCATACATTACCCTTTCCAGCTGCAATGATATTTCTCCTGCAAAGCACAGTACTAATTATTATGTGCGATACTGCTTGCAAAATGACATATAAGCAATGCTTGCCACAAACTACCTCTTAGCACGCAGTGTCTTCTGAAGCTTTGGTGATGACTCCAGCGTGAAAGCACTGAAAGCTTGAAAATATCCACCGAGAGCCGTGGAGAGGTTGGGATGTCTTTGAGACATCTTTGGCTGGACCAACCGCAGCCCACATGCTGCTTGCCCCAGCTCCCCGACGGGCATCTCAGGTTCGTCCATCCAGGTGGCTACACACATGGACATCCAGACAGCCTCAGGCATGAAGCTCCAGCCTCGCAACCGCTCTGCGGTCCCTGCCCACAGGTATGCTTTACATCTAATGCGTAGGTCACGAGGAGGTGCCTGCCAGTATTCCCCCTGGGCAACGTGGACCATGACCACAGAGGACCCAACGTGTTGCAAATGCATCATCCAGGT